CAAGAGCCGATTGTAAAATAGGCAAAGGCCCCAAGAGCCTAACGCCCGAACGAGCTTGACCGGATAAACCGCTTAAGTTCAAAAACTCCAAACGGCCCCAAGAGTTGATCGCAAGATAGGCGAAGGCCTCAAGAGCCTAACGTCGGAACGGGCTTGACTGGATAAACTGCTCAAGTTCAAAAAAACCGAACGGCCCCAAGAGCCAATCACTAATAGGCAAAAAATGCCTAACGCCCGAACGTTAATTACAAAGTAGACAAATACATAGAACCACAAACAATAATGTAAGCAAAAGCAATCACAAAGATTGTCAAAAGAAAACCTTCATGTTCTTACAAATAAGTGAGGGTTTTTACAAAAGAGGCAGGGCATACCCAACACCTCCAAAAAAAAAAATAATAATAATAATAAAATAAAAATAAAAAAGGAGGAAGCTACGCAGGATCACCATCAGGCACAGCTCCACCCTCCGCATTGAACCTCTGCGTGAACGCATCAACCAACTCTACTCTAGCAGGAACAGAAGAAGGGGTATCGAGTGACAAGGCAGGTAACCCCTGAGAACCCGAAGGGTAATGGAGAGGAGGAGGAACCTCGCCAGACACCTCACCTTTTAGCAAAGCAACAAACTTTATCTTTCTAGGGCCAGCCGAAGTCTAGGCATACTCACTTGTAACCAAGAGCCCCTGTTCGGCGTCATGCTCGTCAGCATCACCATAATCTCTCTCCTCAGAAGGAAGCTGCCCCTGAGCAAAACCAAACCTGAAGCCTTTGGCATAGCGGAGATTCGCAATCTGGGAAAAACGATTAAACATCTCCAAACCCCCATCCTTGTGGGTTTGAATAAGAGAGTTTGCCTTCCCAAGCTGCAGGTCAAGCTCAGCAGCTTTGTCCTCAAACTTCCTAGTTCTTTTGCCGAAATACTCAATTGACTTCAGCTGTTGAGTTTTTTCCCTCTTCTCCTCGGCGAGAGAAGCCTCCAAAGCACTTACTCTCTTCTAAAGGGCAGCAGACTGGTTCGTATGAAAAGAGTCAACTGAGAGCTTCTTTATAAGAGCAAACATCAAGAAAGAACTCTGCGCAAAAGTAGCATGAAATTAAAAAAAAAAAAAAAAAAAAAAGGGAACAGAGGGAAGAGAAAAGGTTACCTCCATTATGGATTTGGGAGCAAGGGACAACAGATCATCAACGCTCATCTGTTGTTGTAAAATTTCATCTCTGGGAGGCCACATCCCTCTAGCCAAACCCATTAACGTCTCCGGGTCTTCGGCTCTAGAGTTGCCAATGGTGATCGGGGATCCATCAGACTTTATCATTACGGGGAACCACTTCTTGGTAGACCCTGCGAAATCACCCCCAGCGACATCAGCAGCGCCAGAAATCAAAGCACTTTTTCCTTTGAAGGCCCCAACCATTAACTTGGGACGCTTCGAAAAAGAATCATCCTTCGCTGATGGACGCTTAATCCCCGACTGGGCCCCTTTTTGCTTTTGAGAGGGAGAAAGCCTGCACACCTTGACAAGAAGGTTCTTCCTTTCTTATAATAACTTAGCGGCCGCCTCCCTCTCCTTCTTCGTTGTACGGGGTTTTGGAGGAGGAAGTTCCATCACTGATTGAGAGAGGGTAAGGGGGGCAGGCGATAAGATAGTCTCAGAGTTGGAAGCGTTAAGGTCAATAGGCTCTTCAGGATTTAAAGCAATTACTGGAGGAACTCAAGATCATCTTAAGAATAGAAGAGAGAGAAAGGTCTTGGCAGAAGGAACGTCGCCCCAAACTCTCTCCTGCAAGTAGACAAGATGACTATTTGCAAATTTCGAAGAGAAAAAGTTAGTTTTGTGACCTAGGAAGTCATATATACAACAAAAATGCTTTACGACGCAAACAAAGCAAGAAGACTCGCCTGAATCATCAAAGGTGGGGACAAATGGGGCATGAAAGCTCGATCAGATGAATAAATCCCGAACTGAAGAAGACTGCCATGCCCCTCCGACCTTAACAATTTTGTACTTTCACTCTTTGTCAGCTGTGTTAAGATGAAAGAAGAGAGTTCTACCTGGTCTAGAGTGAAGGTGAAACCTACCCTCACCTCCTTTCAACCTATCAAGTGAGTAGCAAAACAGAAGGTCGGTAAGATTCAAGGTTAATCCTCGAACCCTTTTCAGAGCAAGAAGACAGGAGAGAATACGAAAGAAATTAGGGTTAACCTGCAGAGGAGCTAAATTCAACACCGACAAAACCCGAAGATAAAAAGGGTTCAATGGGAATTGAAAGGCAGGAAAATGCAAAGCCGAGAAAAGCATTTTGCCCTCCTCTAAACCCTCACCTATACTAAATTTTAAATTATGGTCATACTCCTCAAGGGTAACGTCAGAAGGAACATGATTCTTCTTTCTCAACTGAGAAATCGAAAAGGACTTCCTTTCTACAACATCTGCAGGGAGGACTATGGGACCCTCAGCATAATAACTCAAACTCACTGCCATAGTTCTCGACTCAGAATCAGACATGTGAACACTACGAGTTCATTCACCACTTTCTTGACTCATTATATAAGAAAGATGGAACGAAAAAAAAACTAACCTCGACGGATGGAATGAGATGTCGAAGCAGCTAGCAATCAGGTCCTCACCAAAACTCAGAACAAAATCACATATGTAGATGCCTAAATCACGAAAGCGCAGTATATAAGCTAAAAGGGGCGGATAGCAGAAGGGCAAACACGTAGTCCCAGAATTGACAGCACGAACGGTAATGATCAGTCGTAACAGCCGTGAAAACTTCTCTACTTCCTGAAAATGGTTACAATTCCTTTTATGAATCAAATTCATAAAAAGAAATTGGAGGCAAAGTGTGGAGGGAAAAGGCAGCCTGTAAAAAGGCTAAAAGCCCATAATAAGACATAAGCCCAGTGAAAGAAGACCTACTTAAAACAGAAGCAGAATAAACAGGCCCAATTCTGACAAAACCTAAACTCTATAACGCCCGCAATAATGTCAAATGCACGATCTGTAGGCATAAATTACCCATGTTTGGGAATAAAAGCCAAGAAACGGCTCCATGTAAAATCCTAAGCTAAAAAACACTTATAAATAGAGCCTGAACAAAGGTAAAATGCATGAGACTCTGAATACAATCACTATCTCAAAGATTTACTTGCTCCCTTCTTAATTTTTTCTGTGTGTTTTCCATAGTCGATCCCTCTAGGTGTATGGGTGTAAAAAATTGCACCCACATATTGGATCACTAGTCAAAACGTTTTCTCTCTTTACCTTTTCTCTCGCATCTTTCTAACCCTTCAGCCGCCGCCTTCGTCCTCTTCCTTCTGCCTGCTCCCCACTCCCTCTCATGGGAGTGGGGAGGTGTCGATCCTTGCCACCCACTCTATAATAAACTCGGCGTGTTGTACATAGTTTGCTCAGTGGGTGGTCTCACGCCGTTTTGCTATTATTTTGTTAGATCTACTCCTGTTTGACTGGTTTTTTGGCTAAACGGGGTGGATATGTTATTTTGTCTCCGGCTAGATCTCTGATCTATATCGGATTTTGTTGTTCCTGCCTTCTTGTGCGGGGTTGGGTGGTGTTACCTCGTCGGCGGCGCCTTGTAATGTAGCCTTGGAGTAGTTGCCTTGATGATGACCTGACCTTTGGGTCACTCCCGCTTGCTGTTTTCCTCCCTTTAGTGGTTGTCACTATTATATGTTGGTTTTTTTCTCAACAAATCTAGAGCCTGTTCTTCAGTTTTTTCTTTTGTTGCTTCATGATTTGTTTGTCTTTATATGAACATTATTGGTAGCGTTTGTAGATGCCCTATGGCTGTTTTTCTTGCCAGGACAAAAAAAAAAAAAAAAAAAAAAAAAAAAAAAAATACTACCGCTCCACATGGGACAAAGATCCTCTCCAGCACATGAGATGTCCTGCACAGAACTCCATGATTGAGAATGAATTGATAAATATGACCCACTAGTGATGATGTAGGACCTCTCCTGTGTTGGAGAGGATCCTTGTCTTTCCACATGATAATGAACTTTCTCCAATATTATAAAAATAATAATGGTAAACCCGGAAAAGTGAGTGCTTGATAGAGCTCTCTTGATGGAGTGTCTTATCTTCCTCCTCTCGACATTTTTTATCAACCAGAGAGCTGTGGTACTGCTGGAAATTTAGTTTTAAGGGAACAACCGTTACAATAATATGGGTCTTTTCTAAAATTTTGAAATTCTTGTTGGGCTAACGAGTTAGAAAATGAAGAATATTTTTCAATTTTGAATTTTTTAAAAGGCTTTTGTGAATTTTTTAGAAGTGCAATGGGGGCACTTTTAGAATTATTAAAATTTGTGCATAAAAAATACAAATAGTAGAAAATTCCAGTGCCCCCGCTGCATGGCTCCGCCACTATTAGAGGGGGAGGGCGAAAATAGCTTTGAAAACATAAATGGAGAAACCAAGAAAGGTTTGGATATTGTAGATCTAGAGGAGTAATGAACTATTAAAATATCGACTTTCTTTTAGGCTACAAGAAAATGTATACACTACTCAAGTACTATCGGTCGGATCTTATTGGGTTGTTAAAAGGACAGTTTATGTTTCTATATTTAATTATAATGGTGAATATTTTATTCGTGAATAAATTATTTCATGAACAGGTCTAATATATATATTTTGAAGCTAAAGGTTTTGTTTGAAAAAACTATGCTTTCTTGGCTTGTTATTTTGAAAGCAGTTCTTATAAACTGTTTATTTTTATAAATGAGTTTTTAGAAAATAGTTTTCAGGAAACTGAACCAAGCAAAGATTTTGTACAGTTTTTTATTTTCAGTTTTCCGAGAACAATTTTCATAGTTACAAATCAAGCAAACCTATAACTTAGTTTTCAAAAAACTGAGCAAAACAGAATTTTTTTTTACAATTTTATGTTTTCAGTTTTCTGTGTAGCCCCGTAGCTACAGAATCATTTCAAATCCTTACCACACACACCCACCCACCCACCCAAATAATAATAAATAAACAAATAAAGTCTCAAATTATAAAATCCTTACTATAACTGGTATTATTTAAGAATACTTGATATTTTAGCTGTTCTATAAACAACAGAATCTGCAATAGTTTGTGGGAAACCAATACACACACCAACACACACATTGAAGTGCTCCACAAGTTTTATTTATCTAGTAGTGTATGACTTGTGGGAATTCAGTCCTGCGGTATTGGCAGCTTCATAGCTTAAAATGATCAAGGCCAGACGTACCAATTGCCTTGGAGAAAAAATTGCTAGTATATTCAGTTACTAGAAATTCTCTATAGACTGGGGGACTTTCTTCTGATATCATCTCTTCAATTGGTCCATACAACTTTGAGGAAGTAGTAAAGGCTGTGAAAAAACATGCCACGGAAATTCTTGGTCCCACGCGGTTGGCCAGCACTCTGTGCTCCACACTTTTAAATTTGTCGTTTGATATAATCTGTTGTGCCAAATTAAGATTTCATTAACTTTCAGTAAATCAAATTAAGATTTCCATTAACATTACTCTAATAATAATTATTTCCTTTAACGAACCTGGAGAGTGTCCCCGATGTTAACTATCAAACTTCCAACAATGGGTTGAACATCCACCCAATGGTTATCATGCAAGACTTGGAGCCCTCCAATTTGGTCTTGGAGCAGAATGGTGAGGAATGTAGGATCAGTGTGCTTGCTAATTCCCAGAGTTAGGTCTGGCTCTGGGCATGCTGGATAGTAGTGGCAAGAAAAACCACGCCCTTTAGAACATTCCATGTCTTTTAGATGGTTAGGTTTGAGGCCGAGAGCCTCTGATAATAACTCGAAGATGGTATCTCCCAACTCTGAAACACCCTTGATGTACTTAATCGTCGAATCTCTGTAGAATAAGAAAATGAATGTAATTGAAGTTTGTTATTTGTGTTTATTTTTTCCTTTTTCCCTAGCATTTATCCGTTCTGTTCCCTGCTTACTTATTATGTCTAGTATCTAGTCGAATTTAATTATCATCGAATAAAAATCTATTGATGCATTTTATGATATTTAAATCTGAAAATAATTACATAGTCAAATACTGTATGACTAGGAACATGGTACCACGAGTTCCTGGCATCTTCTTTTGCTTATATGAGTTTCTTTTTCAGTACTTTCATGTGGAGATTAGTTACTGGTACTAATTTGGTACAAATTTATATCTTTGGTAATCATTAATTAGTTATTTATTAATAGGATTTTGGTGGATCAGTGATCCAAACTATATATACTTGGCAGCAGAAAATCACCCATGTACCATTTTGACTAAATTAAGTCAACAACATGAGAAATCAAGATTGAAGAATTAGAGGCAGAGAGAAAAACAAAGTACCTGCAAGCCAAAGGCAGTTCATCAGGGTGAAGAAGATCAGAAAGCAGTAGAGAAATGTTCATGGTGTCCCTCCAATTAGCAGATCTTGAAAGATACAGATCAGAATTGCTTACCAACCTCACTTTTTTCATTGCATCACGCGAATAAAATTCTTGCTTCACCTCAGAAGGTTGTTCATGAAAAGCCCGAACGCCATTCATCATTTCATCCAGCACACTCAAGGGTATCCTGTGATTAACCACTTGAAAAAAGCCCCACTTCTCCGATGCAGTCCGAATTTCATCCACAATACCTTTGCGTCGATGATCATCTTTTTCCATGCCACTTAGATCTATAACTGGAACTTGAAGAGGGATGGTCAAGCAATTCAAATCCTGAGCAAGCTCATCAGGTGGTCGAATGAATATTCTAGGGATATTCATGGTTCCGGCTTCTACTAGTCCTTTGACTCCGGCGTTTGTATCATCGAAAGCCTTCAGCTCTTTTGCTCTGTCATAATCCATTGCAGCAGCTTCAGTTGACTCTCTGGTACCTGTGATATCCACCTTTTGATCTGTGGAGGAGATAACAATCCCACGTTGATATCATGTCTGTTTTTCATACATTAATAGGGAATCCCACGTTGATATCATGTCTGTTTTTGAATTTTAAATGTAAGAGATGAGGTTTAGATTTTACACTGACTCACCAGATCAACCTAATTATACACGGGATGTTAAGTTTAAAAAAAAAGTTGCGTGGATAAAAAAATCTGTTCAATTTCTCGCTGTAAAAATTGAATGTATGGGACTAAAATGCCTTCTTCAACACTTGAAAAAGACTTTATTACCTTTCAAAGTGTTATGAAATTAAATGAATTCCTATTAAAACAATAAAAAAGAAAAATAAACAAAATGATATAATATTACCTCCCCATCATCATGATGTGAACTTTCTCCAACTATTTTGTTTATTATACACAGGTGACTTTTTTTTCTTTTTTATTTTTTTAAAAAAGAAAGTGACTTACTTACACAAAAAAATAAAAATAAAACACTATGGTGTGCCAAATTTTTGCTATTTTATCAAAATTTAGATCCAAATGTCAAGAGTATTTAGCTACTGCTTCGGTTGAGTCAGAATCCAAGATTGATCTTTTCGCTTTCCTCTTATTAAACATCTAAGATTTTATCAACATAATCAGGTTGGGAGAGACTTCAAATATTTTTACTTTTACAATTTTTTTTTGATGTACCCACTCACACACACTTTGTCTAGAACTCAAACAATTTAAGAAGTAGAAAAAATATTACTGGATCACAAGAACCTTGATTATTTTTACATATTGTGTTAAACATTTTTACTTGTACATAAGCTTTGGTTCTGTGATGATGTAGGACCTCTCATATGTTGAAGAGAATCCTTGTCTCTCCACATGATAATGAACTTTCTCCAATATTATAAAAATAATAATGGTAAACCCGCAAAAGTGGGTGTTTGATAGAGCTCTCTCGATGGAGTGTCTCATCTCCTCCTCTTGTCATTTTTTATCAACCAAAGAGCAGTGGTAGTGCTGGAAATTTAGTTATGAGGGAACAACCATTACAATAATATGGGTCTTTTCTAAAATTTTGAAATTCTTGTTAGGCTAACGAGTTAGAAAATGAATAGTATTTTTCAATTTTGAATTTTTTAAAAGGCTTTTGTGAATTTTTTAGAAGTGCAATGGGGGCACTTCTAGAATTATTAAAATTTGTGCGTAAAAAATACAAATAGTAGAAAATTCCAGTGCCCCCGTTGCATGTCTCTGCCACTATTAGAGAGGGAGGGCGAAAATAGCTTTGAAAACATAAATGGAGAAATCAAGAAAGGTTTGAATATTGTAGATCTAGAGGAGTAATGAACTTGTAACGACCCGAACTCGTGGGTCCGAATCGTCAACCGGGTCCTTACCCGAATCCAAGCTCAACTAGGTCATACCATCCATTTCCTATGTCCATAACTGCCACACGAATCAATCCGAGGTCCCAAAACACTCCAAGACACAACCTTACAGAGAGGGTTAAATGATACAGGTCAAAAGGGGAGGATCAGTCGGCTGATGACCCTTGGTCGACCGGCTAACGGTAGGTTCGGTCGGCTGACCTACATGGTCGGCCGGCCGAAACGATTATGCAGAATGCATGCTCTCGGGACTTTGCTACAGTAGGAGTGTCGGTTGGCTGGTGGAGAGGTTCGGTATGCTGATGGTGAGGTTCAGCCGGCTGAAACAAGGCTCTTTATAGCCTAACTCTCTGGAATGGTCTCGAATGGCTCTATCAGTCGGCTAATCTTCCTTGCCAGCCGGCCGATAGGCCCTGAATAACTATTATTTGCGGCTTGAAAACTCCTCGAACTAGGCTCATTGTGAGCCAAACCTATATTGAACCTGTTGTACAAACGAACTCCGAATTCACGGTAATAGAACATAATGTATACAATTAAACATAACTTCACTTCTCATTCATCATGAAATATCTTACATAGTCTCAATTTACCTCAAAATGTCATTAGGGGTTATAGTTACAATACATGGCCTTGGTTTGCAAAATGAATACACTTTATTATGGTTTTACATTACAAAAGAATGGCAAATACACAAAAGGTGACAAAAATAGATTTCTAGTCCTCCTCGTGCTTGTGAAGGGTCGGCATCCACTACTTCCTTTCCCAGCCTTGAAAAATGTTAAATAAGGGGTGAACAAAATTTGCTCAGTACGTGGTGCCTAAGACACACCTCTTGTGACCCCGTGAATCCAAAAAATGAATAAAAATAAGGTAACGGGATCATACTATATTAGGAAAAACACAATACAAGCTCAAGTCATAATGAAACAAATTCATGCTATGAAATGCAAGGCCATATATGTCACTCTCCCATTTTCAAATCTCTTTAATTCTCCACTTTTCAATCCTTTAGCATAACCCGTCCCTCGGTGACCCCTCGACGACACAAGAGAAGGATTGGCTACTGTCCTAGACCCTTGGTAACTCCGCGGTGTCATTTAGGGCCCAGCTAGCTCAACCACGCTAGGGTGATTTCCCTAATTCCCTCTAGGTTATATTAACATCACGGTCCTTTAGTAACCCCGCCACGACCGAATTTTTCGCAAAAACCATTTTGATCAAAACTTTACCCAAAAAAAATCCCCTTTTTCATTCACTTCAAATCACTTTGCTCTTTTCTTTCATGCCCAATGCTATGAATGCATGCCACATACTTTTCAAATAATATGAAATTAAAGGAATTTACACTACACAAATTAATATGCTTCTTCATAGCAAATTTCTAGGAAATTAATAAACACCATAGATATGGAAATTAACATTTAGGCATACTTTTCACACAATTCAATCAATACACATAATCATAGCTTTCAAATACAACAATTACATCATTTTAAAGGCAATCAACTCAAATTAAGCATGCTTGACATTAATTTTTGAAAGAAGATTCATAAAGGAACAAGAAATTGGGAATTAGAAACCCCTACATCAAAATAAGCAAAAACCCCCAATTTTTGAGCCCTAGATTTCGAATTTCAAAGTGCACCAAAAGAGGAATTCTTCCGTTTTATACCCCTTGGATCCGAGACACGGGTTGATCAGGCCCAGGCCCAAACCCGAGGGAATATCAAACAATTAATATGTAATGCGAACACAGATGACAAAATAAAATAAGAATAAATAGTAAAAGTTGGAAGAAACTAAAATAAAATCCTTTTAGAAATAATGTTTAAATCTGGTATTCCAAAAACCTCCAATACTTTAACAACTTGGGAATCCATCTCTAGTGGACCCCTAATAATAATATAAACTGAAAAGAAAACTACTAAAAGAACATCAATAGTAAACTATAGAGAGAAGTCCTACATCGTCGGAAGAGTGAGTAATGGTCTCTGCTTAGCACGATCAAGCCTACGACTGGAATTGTCGAATACCTGAAAAATAGAAGTGGGTCAGGCCTACGAACAAATTCTATCCTACTACAATCCAAGCAGAGATTCAATATGCATATACATTCTAACCAACTCAACAATTGCTAATAGTCCTTAAATATATATATATATATATATATATATATATATATATATATATATATTCACACTACAGGACTCTCACTGGACTATAGAGAGGGTCTCAACCTAAATAGAAGGCAACATGCGAAAACGCACCCATAGGTGGGCATGAGTACCTAGACCTAACAGGGTACACCTCAACCTCTCATATTCAGCTACGCATCCTACTGCATATACGCTCCCTTACCGACGACTTTGAGACTCAAGCTCATATCGCGGTACCATAAAAATATATTTAAAATCCTATCCTATCCATCCATAAGAAATCCAGTTGGCTATTTAGCTTGTGCAACTTCTTTGACTCAACATAGATAACAAGTAATCCAGCTAGTCATTCAGCTTGTGCAGCTTCTTTGGCTTAGCATAAATATAAGTAGGATTTATTTATAATCCATTCCCTTATTCCAATACAGGTTGGATTTAGTATTTTGAAACTAAACCATTCCTGGTATGTCACCGTCCCATACCGGTGCATACAATCCAATCCATCCAACAGTTGATAGAATACATAGTCAATGCACATAGCAACTGAACCATAATAAGCATAAATAGAAATATAGACTAACATGCTTACACCAGTAACTGATAAATCCAAATAATAAGACATATCAATTAATTCCATGATGAACATAAAATAAATAGATAAGCTATCATGTTCATCCCATATCTTTGTTACAAATTATCCTACCCTGAGCATGCAGATAATTTATATCCTCGTCCATATATCCATAACAAGTATAATAAAAACTATTTTAATTATCATGTTTTTCCACTATTAATAACATCAAATAAATCAAATTTTCGTTCCCAGAGAATGATTAAATAAAGGTTCAGTGTTTAAAATTCCTCTGTACTGAAGTAAAACAATTTCTGTTGAGACTAACCACTGTTCAAGCTATAAACACCTACTGGTTTATTATTCATTAATCCACTCTCTGAAGTGTTAACAAGGCTTAGAACATCTTTAAACACCCAAATATAGCTTCCTCCAAAATCTGAAAATCCTAAAATCCAAGTCCCGTAGCCCATACAGTCGCAGAAAAACGAAAAAACTGAAGAAACCTTAAAGGAGCCGGCTCCAACCAAGTTGGAACCGCCTCCAAACAAGATGGAGATGGCTCCAACCCACTTGGAGCCGCCTCCAAAACCATTTAGAGCTGGCTCCATGATTCCACGGAGCCGCCTCTTCCCCCTCTCCTCATCTCTGCTTGTTTTCTTCCCTTGTGTCTACTCCAGCGACGTCCAGTTCATCCGTCTTAAATTGCTAAAGCTACTACTGGTTAAAATTATGTCCCAGTGTGATCCAAAGACAGTTTAATACCTTATTCATTCACTGACAACAATTAAAACAAGAGTTATGCAACAGGAAATTAGAACGAGCAATTTACCATTCAAGAACACACCCTGTTCTAAGTGAATCAATCATGTGAACCAGATTAATATTAAAGCTTCCCAGAGTGTTATAAACTAATTTAATGCTTTATACATCAGTTTACATGAATTATTTTATGAGTTTCTTAAACGAAGGATTATAAAACAAGCAGTAACTCATGGTTACGTTCAGTTTA